TTCGGCAGATTTGTCCAAGGGAGTCTGCGAAGAACCTTTTTCTGCAAATGGCCCCCGCAGAGGAGATTTCAGCGTTTCTTCTTCTGCAGGTTTCGCTTTTGACGAGCTCCCTGGGGTTCTTGGAGACTTGCTTTTCGAGACTCGCTCACAACCGAGAGGCGGGGATTTCTTGGCGACTTCGGCAGCTTCAAGACCTCCTTTTTTACCTTTCGGATCAGAGGATTCAGCCTCATGAGAAACCCCATCAGCAAGTTGTCCTGATAGCAAAGCCTGGACAGCACCACTGTGGAAGGACGATTCCTGGGATTGCTGTGGGACAGCTCCAGAAGATGTAGGCTCCACTTCAAGAGGCAGTGAACTGTTATCAGGCGGTGATCTGTCGAGTACAGATTGCTTCTTGTCACCATCGTCGAGCAGCACTCCTGGGACACACCCCGGTCCACTGTTTGTAGCAGGCAGCCTCGCAGAACTGGACTGTAGCACGGCACTGAGGGCAATAGGTGAGCGAAGATGGTAGCGCGTCTGTAGCGGGATGACAATTTGCTTCTTGGCTGCATCTGGTGCTTGGAAAAAACTGACTCTCATTCCTACAGTGCAACGGTGTTCACGAGGAACTGATGGGCGACGAGGTGTGTCGTCATTCTTGGATGATGACTGCTTCCTTGGCTTCAAATCGGTACGACGACTTTCTGAGCGACGGCGAGAAGAACTGGATTTCTTCGCAGCAGTACGACTTTCACTTTGATGACGACTGCGACTTCCAGCATCACTTTGATGACGACGGCGACTTCCAGCATCACTTGGTTGGCGACGGCGACTTCCAGCACTCACTGCTGGAGTTACAGGAGCGACCTTCAATTCGGAATAGTTACGACGCCTTCCTTGAGTAGATCTGCTGGCCCTGGAAACAGCCCTTGGGACGCTACGATCAATGCTACCAGTTCTGTCTAAGTTCTTCGATGGACAGCGTTGCTCTGGTTTCCCTCTTGTGATTTGGCCTTGATGGTTCGTCGAACGACTTCTGCACCTGCAATAATTTCGGATAACATATTCTCGTTCTTAAAGGACCGCCAACTTTTGTGCTTACTCTGAACGTCCGCTTTTCTTCGGGGAATGACGACGAGGTTTTTTCTGGTCTCCACGGCGGTCTGTAGGAGAGTTCTCCACGTTCTTAGACCCACAAGGAGTTGGTGGAGCCATGAGCGGAGTCGCCAAGTTGGGGCAGTGCATTTTCGCAGACCTGCTTTATCCTGTGAGTTGTTAAAAGGTTGCTATAACATTATCGCAGATGGTACCTCGAGAAGACTCCGTTTACCTGTATGTCATAGATAGAACTGCTGGGGAGCTATCATATTTGCGGTCAAGCTAGGGGGCAGATGGCCCAATTTCATGTTTCCGAATCATATCAACATGAGTTCATTTTTTCTTTGATTAGAATGTTAGTGTGATGCTTCTTTATTGTTTACTTGTTGAAAAAAAAATCTTTATAGGACACTAAGACACATCCAGTATCGAGAGAGCAGCTACAATCTAAGCAACTCAAAATGAGTACGCAGCTATTTTACAACACTGTTCAATTGGCGTATCCGATAACGCGGCTCAAAACGAGCTTCACGTTGATCTATGGGGAGCTCCAATTGAGTAGCGTAAGATTCAAGATCACAATCCTTTATGAATACGTTCACGGCTTCTTCTTTCGCGTAAATATGTTTCATATACATCACGATGAGGTCCATGTTAATATGTTTGCGTAATACTGCAAATGGAGTATGCGTCTCCGGCTGCTTACTTGTTTCATGACCTGCTATGGCTCAGTTCAGGAAGCGGTCAACAGATCGCGCGGCACCGCGCCGCCGGCGTGCGACACTGCGCGGCTCCGCGGACGCAGCATTTCTGAAGAGACGCGATTTTGAACTCTGTGTTGAAGCAGTGATTTGAAGTTATTATTTTAGGGACGGACTGGTCGCGTCTTGGTAAAATTTCAAATGCGCTCACAGAACTGCCACTGCAATTGCGACGTCGCAGGCTACGAGCAGTAGCGCCGGACGATTCTGTTGACATATACACCCCTCAATATCTGTAATATAGGGGGGGGGGCTGGGAGGGAGTAATAAATGCTCTGCCCTGCACTACCGCAGATGAGTCAGGAATAGACTGAATGCTACTAAAAAAGCGAGCTTTGTGTGGGTGGCGCATCTCGGAGCGAGTGAGTAATTTTGCTCCCCTCTACTTTGAGGAGGTTTGAAAAACTTATATAATTGTAAATTGTGTAAGGATAACTGGCCACAAACTCTTCCCTCTCGCGACGACCGGTGTTATACTGCATCTTTCAGAAAATGAGGATAGCCTACACGGCTGACATGCTTCTTTCTACAGCTCTATAGTATTGGAGTGAAGTTTATTGCTCGTTCGGAGAAAAGGTATCCGATGGATGAGATTTATTGCCGGCGCACAAAAGCAAATGCATTTTTTTTCATATTTCCAAGGCAAGCGTTTATAGTTGGCGATCCCACATGCGATAGAAGGAGATGCAGCGATTAGTGTACCAGGAGAAGGAAACAACCACTACAAGCCAGATTTTCGGAGGCCGTCGTCACTTATGGTGCATGGTCTGCACCCAGCGCTCTTCTCGTTTTTTGAAAGGGAGGGTGACTACACTTGAACAAAGAACAAAAACATGGTAAACTGGACCAACCGACTGGTTTGAATTTGAGCATGAGCTGGAGAAGACGCGTTTCTGCTAGCGGGCACCATTCAGGTTCAATTCGAGCCGGCTGTCCCAACGGAGCGAAGAACGTGTCCCTGATCTGCTGCGCAGACATTCGACTGAAAGAAAAACTCTTTACCCCTATAAGGCGTTCAGATCAAGCTCAGGGGACTGAAAAACATGTGTATTGATTGGTAGGTAGAATAGGAGAGTTGGAAAGTAGATCAGAAGAATTAGCAAAGATTGGACGTATAGATTGATTTGACCTGAAACTTCTGATTTTGCATTCCTCCAATCAATACGTTTCAGTTTTTCAAGTTTTCAGCCGAATTCCAAGCTCACAGCTTCTGAATCTTTGCAAAATACAATGGATTGTTTTTCAGTTAGTCGGATGCGCCGTAAATTATACGGTATCAATCTCGTCGGAAAGCAGCAATCGTAACACGCACTACAATGTTGTATTATAGTTGTTACATGGGATTTTGATTACTTTCTAATGTTTTTTGTTCGATTATCCCTTGTATCCGGCGATCAGAGAAGTCTGCTCTACACATTATACAACACAAATGACGACGGTCTTCAAGAGTTGTGATAAGTAGTAGTTCATACTGATATTCTGAAGCTGAAAAATGATAGTTGATATTAGTGACAACTGACAGACTAAACTGCAACCGGTTAATTATTTCGCTGAAACTATTAAAAAAAACTATGCTACATTTTGTAAAGGGTCGTCACTTGTGTTGTGAAGTCTGCAGAGGACTCGGCCGCTGGATACAAAGTCGCAGTGCTAACGTAGTTGAAAGGGGCTAGCGGGGCGCTCTGTTCGTCTGCGCCTCTAGGCCAGGGTCCACCGTCACGTTAGACCAATTCCGAAAATTTTAAGAACCCCCTCCCCTTCTAGAGGGCCTCGATACGACCCCCCCCTCCATCGCCATCATGGGGGCGATTCTATAGTTCTGAGACCAGTCCCAACCAACCCCGCCCACTTTTTCCTCCTAACTTGCTGTCGAGTGGGAGGGGGGGGG